AGACCTAGACCTAGACCTAGACCTAGACCTAGACCTAGACCTAGACCTAGACCTAGACCTAGACCTAGACCTTGACATAGACATAGATATAGACATAGACATAAACCAAACTCAAACCCTAGCTTTAACTCTAGCTGAACCTTAAGCTAATGTCCTACTGGGCGGGGGGGGGGGGGCAATTGACAGGGGGTAATTACTCCAGGGCGAATGACGGGGGGGGACGTCCGTGGGGTAATTGACGGGGCAGAAATGCCCTGTTCCCGTCATGTACAAGTTCCGACATCAGTACAAAATGTATCCCCACCAGTATTATAAAAATCAAACCAAGACCTTTTCTACAACAAGATTGTCCATTGAGTCCCCCCCCCCCCCTCTTAAAAGCTCATTCTTGTAAAAATCCTGTTTAATATTACACAATTTTAGAGTGAAAATAAATATACAACAGTCTTTTATGTCAAATAATGAGCATAGAAATGCATAGTAATGCACCAGCGGAAGAATTCGGGACAAGGTTAATATTTACATACAGACATGTCATTGAAAATTTTATAAATTCCCAAATACCGGGCAGTACAGGGTATATGGTGCATGGTGAGCACACAAGTCACTGCCCTTTACTATTAACTTTTACCTCAAATGCCATTGAGAACCTGGTTGGAACACGGACACGTACACGCACATGTACACGCAAACTCACAAAGCTATTTGTGTACAATTTCAAGTCATTAATGCCGAATATAAATACTATCTTTTTGTAAGCATATTTGATGCACATACACAATGTCATTTGGGTGATTAGTTACTTTCTCACACTTATATCGATCATTCTTAAAAACTGATGTTTGAGAAACCTTTAGTAGAGTAAGTAACACTTCCGGTTACTGAAAACGGCACTCAAATTCAAATTTATTCAAATTTATTCAAACAACGGTTACAATTGTAGGCACAAAGGCCTTTTTTCACATTGGCCGTTTAAACAAATAAAACAATTCAATAACACATAGCAGTAACATAGCACTAAAAATGAGGAATAAAGAAACAATGTTACATAGTTATCATACATAATGAGATAAAAAAGAGAATATAATAGATGAATGAGAAATGTTACAATGAGTCAGTTAGGTCATTAAATAATTTTAGTTTTAATTTAGATTTGAATATATTTTCAGATCTAGATAGCTTTATTTTAATAGGAAGATTGTTCCACAAATTAGAACCAGAGTAGGCTAAGCTATGTTTTTGGAAAAAAGTTGAATATGGGAATGGTAAATTAAGACGACGATTTAATTTTTATCATAAAAGAAAATAGATCTGATAAGTAAGAGGGGGCTGTTTCGTGGAATATTTTATATAAGAAAATTGATTTAGTATATATTATCTTTTTATTTAATGGAAGTATTTTAGTTGTAAGAAAAGAATCCAGACTAAAGCTGTCATGCTTATATACACAAAGCTATCATGTTTAAATACACAAGTTTGCATTACTGAGTTAGTTTTACTTACTCTGGAAGGTGTAAAACATCGATATGTATCTATATATTGATTTAAATGCCTGGTACGGTTACAATAAGTCCTCTAAACTTTTAAGACAAAATAAATGAAAACTGTCAAAATCTTAATTGAGTTTTGTGCACGATTACTATGCTTCCTTTAAACACTGTATACGTGAAAATTTTCAGATTTAGATTCCTCAGACGAGGGTTCAACATCTGACACTTCGTGTGATGAAGCAGGTATGATGTTGTGAAATCAAACGCTATTTTGTGTCCTGTATATGTTTTCTATTCGTTAGTCTATGTAATACACAATGCTATTAAATCGCGACAATTTAATTACGGTCTATAGACAAAGACTTGAATAGCTTGCTGTAAATATTTTTGCCAGAAAGCATATTTTTCAACTGAAAATTAAATATTTTATAAAATTTGTAAAATAAGTAAAAATGACTTCCGGTTTTATTAAGGCTGGAAATAGTCAAACAAATAATTACTAGTAATATAATAGTAATTTAGCAAACACTTTTATTTTTAATTTGTATTAGTAGAGTCAGGGTGTTGTGGTGATAAGGGATGTTATATTATCTAATATATAAAGTTGAAAATTCTGCATGTTACGGCACAGCAGACCCCTGATTACAAAGGAATAGAGCAAAAATGGTAGACTTGATCGCCACAGGGTGATATATCTAAAATTCTCATCATCAAAATTAATGATTTTTTAAATTAATATTTAAGGTGTTATAAAACAAATTTCATTTTCCAAACTAATAGTGTTAATTGACAGCATGTGCATTCAACAAAATTAAGAAAATGTATCTCCCTTCACAAAAGATCTAATTGTTTCTGAAAATGATTTACTTTTATTCCTTTAGCACTCATTACGTCCCTTGATAAATTAGGAAAACCCAATTACTTCCCTTTTTTTTAAAAACGTCGGGAGAAAAAAATTACTTTTTATTACTTTGTTTTCGTGTTGGGCAAAAAATTACATAATTAGCGTGGATTGATCAAGTGAAATGTGGTAAGTAAAACACAGATATTTTAAATACTGCCTTTTATTTATTTTATACACTGAACGTACTGTTTTCTAATTTAAAAAAATCAATAACAGTTTAAAAGCCAGCTCCTTAATGTCCTCTATGTTTACTTCTATCTTTCCGTTTGCGGACAAGCTTGGGGTATTACAGTCGTTCACTAAATTGAATCGCAGCGCCCCGGCAGGGTTTGATTTGGCACCCTGTGCTACCCTGTGACGCTATGGTGCATAATTTCGTTTTAAACAGTGCGATAGACTATGGATAAGAAAGTATATTATAGTCTTTAAGCGACATGGTGCTATTTGGCGCCCCGGGCCTTCCCGACATGGTGCTAAATGGCGCTCCGGGCCTTCTCTTGTTTGATACGTTCGTTTAAGAGCCCGTCCAAAAGACTATGAATAAGTTGGGGTACTGCAGTCGTTTACTAAGTTAAATCAGACGGTTCCGCCGGCGCCCCAGCATGGTGCAATTCGGCATTCCAGGTTCGACTGTGAGCACTTTGATATTATGTTTGCATTTAAGTTTGTGTTCATGTTTGCGTTTATTAGCATTGTTTTGAGTTATTTTTTTGCGTTTAGTTTGCGTTTGTGTTTCTATTGGTGTTTGCGTTTGAGTTTGTGTTTGCTTCTTTGTGTGCGTTTGTGTTTCCTTTGGGTTTGGGTTTGGATTTGCGTTTTTTGTTGGGTATGTGTTTGCGTTTGGATTTGGGTTTGTTCGTTTACTTTTTTGTTTGCGATTGTGTTTGTGTTTTGTTTGTGTTATGTTTGTTGTTGGGGTTGTGTTTGCGTTTGTGTTTGTATTTGTGTTTGTGTTATGGTTTTGTTGGTTGTGGTTAGGGTTAATTCGAAAAGTAATATATTTCCTAAACCCGGGCAATGCCGGGTATATGCTGATTACTAAACACTCAAGTCGTGGTTCTTTACAGATATGTTTTTCACAGAGGCCAGTGCAGGACCTAGTTGGACGACTAGTTTAATATCCATACAATACTACTGGAAAAATGTTGTTACTAACTATACAAATTAACAGAAACTATTACATTGGAGTAGCCTATCATCTGGAAGTGTTAGTTAACTATTTTATTACGAGATGACCCGCAACGTAGCATACGCCGCTATTTAGTTGTTTTATTTTCTACTTATCAACAATTCATAATTTGTGAATTCGACACTACCAATGCTGCGACTGAAAATATGCTTTAAAACACTATAAGAAGATCGTGAAGGACGATTATTCTCACCCTCACTTTACACTCCCCCCCCCCTCCCCCCTCGATAACAGTTTACAGACGACAATGAAAAGATCAATCAGAACTTGTGAATTTGTTATTACCTCCCCTTAGTTTCAAAGTGTTAAAAAACTAAATTTTCTGCCCTAATAGCCGTCAATAATTCGACCCGGCTCTACGATTATAAACAGCACACCAGACTGGTGGGGTGGGGTGGCAGCGATATGGTATATTAAGCATGCCTGGAGAGCGACGGGTCTGGGCGGCGTGCGTCCACATGGTCCCTTCATGAAGAGAATTATATATTATATAGATACTAAACACTACTACTAATTCCGTTCTAGATGTCAAGAGTATTTTTTTCTTAAAAAGCTATTTAACATAATTTCTCCTACCCATACTGCCAACAGCTGAATTTCATTTTCGCTTCCACCGGGGGGGGGGGGGGGGTTCTTTGACCTTGTTTACAAGGAACCGCCTTCATAAGAGAGTGGTCAGTTTAATCAAATCAAAACCATTTTAGTGAGATTATTAGTCAAATCCATTCGTTTCAATGTAACTCTAATGTATGTGTAAAAATGTTTTGTACAATAATGTATACTAGTTATAAAATGTTTAAATTTCTATTATATTGCACAAAATCTCATTATCTTTTTAAAACATTTATTAATATCTTTTCATATGTGTTATTCATTTGGTTCTTTTGATTAGCAGTCACTAATATATGCATCCTCAGGTTTGTGTTTTGATGATCTGAAATTCAATTTAGAAGAACTAGCAAGAAAATGGAAAACAGAGAGTAAAACAAAAACAGACGAAGATACATTGGGTTTATCTGAAAATGTACTTATTTCAGCATTTGAGATGTGTAAACAAGAAGATTCAGAGAAATTACAAATAGACGATCTCAAATGTTTAGTTGAAGAATGTGTCATACCAATAGATCAATGCATCTTTCATCATGGTATTTTTTTTGATGTTGACTATGGTCCTAAGTATTTGATTTTAAGAACGGGTTTGCAATATTTGATAGATAATTTTAAATCATTTCAATTTCAATGTTATAACAAAAAACATTTCAAAGAATCAATTGAACTGTTTGACACAAGTATGCGAAACTGGAAGGGAAGTTATGGTTCACCGTGTTTCTTTGATAATGCTATTCATTCAGCAGAAGAGCTCAATCGACCGTGTGGAATACCAGAAACTCATTTCTGGTGGTTTGATTTTAAGTAGGAAAATTAAATTTTAATAATCTTATCTTCAGACAACATCACGAGTATTTAATTATAAGTAGATATAGATTTGGCGGTTTAATTGCTTTTTTAAAAATTGCCTATACGAAAATGGAAACCGTAGATCAATTTAAAAAGATGGCCATAGATAAACAAACACTTCTGAAAAACAGTCTAAAGAACTGTAAATGGGTAATAGACAAAGATTCTATCGATATTTTAAAAGATCAATTAATATTTTCTATTTTTGGAGATACAAAATGCGTGTACAGTGATGAAGAAATTGATCATCTTAAACAAATGGCAAACAATATAATAAAACACAAAGCAGACAGTTGTGAAGATCTTCAAGTTTCGGTGATATTTAAATATATCAAAATAAAAGAAGAAGCTAAGAAATCTAACAAGAGTACACAAAAAAGTAATGTTAAAAAACAATCAAGTAATAATGGGGCGAAAGCAAAAAAGGTAAAATCTGACCATAAAGGAAAAAATATTGAGCATAAAAAATTAAGAGATGACCATACAATATTAAAAGATGGTCATTCGGAAGTAAACGATGGTCATTCAGAAGTAAAATATGACAACACAAAAGTAAAAGATGACCATGAAGAAGTAAAAGATAGTCATATAGAAGTAAAAGATGGTCATTCAAAAGTAAAAGATGGTCATTCAGAAATAAAAGATGGTCATTCGGGAGTTAAAAATTCAGAAGTAAAGGATGATCATTTAAAATTAAAAGAAAATCATCCAGAAGTAAAAGATGGTCATTCAGAAATAAAAGATAACCATTTAGAAGTAAAACATGACATTACAAAAAAAAAAGACATACATTCTGATGGTCATTCAGAAGTAAAAGATGATCATTCAGAAGTAAAAGATGGTCATTCAGAAGTAAAAGATGACCATTTAAAAATAAATGTTGGTCATTCAGAACTAAACGATGGTCATTCAGAAGTAAAAGATGACCATTCCGAAATAAAAGATGGCCAATTAATAATAAAAGATGATCATTCAGAAATAAAAGATGATCATACAGAAGTAAAAGATGGTCATTCAGAAGTAAAAGATGAGTATTTAGAAATAAAAAATGACCACACAAATGTTCAAGATGGTCATTCAGAAGTAAAATATGACCACAAAAAAGTAAAAGATGACCATTCAGAAGTAACAGATGTTCATACAGAAGTAAAAGATGACAATACAGAAATAAAAGATGGTCATTTGGAAGTTAAAATTGGTCATTCAGAAGTAAAGGATGATCATTTAGAATTAAAAGATGACCATTCAGAAGTAAAAAATGACATTATAAAAATAAACGATAACCATTCAGATGGTAATTCGGAAGTAAAAGATGGTAATTCAGAAGTAAAAGAAAACCATTCTGAAATAAAAGATGGTCATTCAGAAGTAAACGATGGTCATTCAGAAGTAAAAGATGACCATTCCGAAAAAAAAGATGGTCAATTAATAATAAAAGATGATCATTCAGAAGTAAAAGATGATCATACAGAATTAAAAGATGACCATTCAGAAATAAAAGATGGTCATTCAGAAGTAAAAGATGATTATTTAGAAATAAAAAATGACCACATAAATGTTAAAGATGGTCATTCAGAAGTAAAATACGACCACAAAAAAGTAAAAGATGACCATTCAGAAGTAACAGATGGTCATAACGAAGTAAAAGATGGTCATTCAGAAATAAAAGATGGTCATTTGGAAGTTAAAAATAGTCATTCAGAAGTAAAAGAAGATCATTTAGAATTAAAAGATAGTCATTCTGCAGTAAAAGATGGTCATTCAGAAGTAAAAGATGACCATTCAGAAGTAAAAAATGACATTATAAAAATAAAAGATAACCATTCAGATGGTCATTCGGGAGTAAAAGATGGTAATTCAGAAGTAAAAGATAACCATTCTGAAGTAAAAGATGGTCATTTAGAAGTGAAAAATGAAAATACAAAAGTAAAAGATGGGTATTTAAAAGTAAAAGATGGTCGGTTAAAAGTAACTGATCATTCAAAAGTAAAAGTAGGACATTCAAAAGTACAAAATGGACATTCAAAAGTAAAAAATGCTCATTCAAAAAATAAAGCTTTTCTTGGTGGAATAAAAGCTGAGCAAACAGACGCTAAAGAGAATTATACAGGAGTTTTAGTACCACTTTTTAGGTTTAAAAGGGCTTCAGAGAATTATTTTCATTTTATAGATTACACTAATGAAGTTTTTGATTCATGGAATGATGTTGAAAATAATATTCAGAAAAGTAGGTATGCGCTTAGCCTTCCCTTTAATGGAGACTATAATAGTAAAGACGACTTTATTTATATAACTGGAGACTGTTCACCTGAGAAATATCCTAAATTTGAATTGGAGATAACACATGACGACGATCAAGAGTATTCTTTTGATGAACTACAAGCAATTTTCGCACCCGATGAGGAAGTTAAAGATGCAAAAAAGGCCAAACAGATAGTGAGATTTTTTTTTAATCGAAATTCAATAAAATCTGCTGTTTTCGCAGATGTTTTAAAAACTTTGAGAGCGAATGTAAAACAAGATATTGTATTTGATATATTACACAAGGGGTACAAGAACGTCTCTGGTAAAGTTAGAGAACATCTTGGTCAAGCATACTTTTTAAAGGACTTTGTTACTATTTTACAATCCAGTAAATTCTTTACCGAAATAAAACTTACAAGTGATTCGCTATTAGAGTTACCAAATGGACTAAAACTTGAAGCGAAAGCGTTTGTGCAACTTGAAGAAAAAGAAAAGGAATTGATTTCTCTCAAATCTGCAAATGGTTATACATATCAAACTACTCTTGGATATTATAAATTTATTTTAGACACGGAACAAAAAACATCAGAAGATAAAATCTGTCAATTGCTAGAAATTGAAGACCTGACTCAGTTTAAATTAAACAACATACAAATCTTACTAAAATTAAAGCCACATGAAATCATAAGATTTCGTGAAATTCTGGAAGGTAGATGCAGTAAATGCACCTCTCTTTATATTGAACTTTGGATGGCGTTCGGTCGTAAGTTAAGCATAGACTGTTTTAATCAACTATGTGCTGTGTTGGAATATACTGCTATCCTATTGAATAAACAAGTAAAACTTATTGACGACCCTGATGGTGAAGAAGATATAAATGCTAAATATAAAAAAGCCTATGATAAAATTTTAAATGAAATAGATGACGTTTGTTCAAAGTTCAGAGAATCGTGCGCAAAATTTGAACGTGTCAGTAAAAATCACAAATTTCAGTTCGGTGACCCAATGCTTGCAGCTTATCATTTCGAAAAGCACTCTAAAGATTACAAGGGAGATGATCTTACAGAAGAAAGATATTTAGCGATAGCACAAGAAATATTCTCACGAAAAGATATAGAATTCACGTGGTCACAAAATGGTACTGTAAGAAGATATCAGACATTTGATTTGACCCACAATGCTACTGCTATTCGATACGACGACATTATAGCAACTCTCATTTTTAGAAACATTTTAAAACCCAAGCCTAAACTATGATGGAATCCTACTTTCTATATAAACTCATCTTAAAATGCATTGCTTTTAAACGAGAAAAAAAAGAACGTTTCTGCTGAAGGGTTACTGTGATATTTGACCATCGCCCAGCGATTCATAAAGCTGTGACTAACGATTAAACCCTGGCGAAGTGCGTATGCTGGTTTTGATAAGCATGCCATCCTAGTCACGGTAGGCTGTGAAGAGTGGAAGGGGGTGTGTTTATCTCTTCCTATTATTCCATTAGTAGCCCTTGACCTTTCTGCCGACTGTCTATTGTCTGTATAACTTTGCATATAAGCATTCCTTACAGAAAGCTAACTAAAATGAAGTCTTTGATTTAATCATTAATGCATGTACTATATATATAAATATAAATATATATATATATATATATATATATATATATATATATATATATATATATGTATGTATATATATATATATATATATATGGTTGTATTATGATCTGTTACGAGAAACTACTGATTATCGTATGAAATTGAGTTTTAATTAATTTTATGCACATTATATTACATTTTTAAGATAAAAAATACTTTTATTAGATTTTTGCGAGTTTTACCTCCAAAATTCATTTGTCATGAAAACGTTTCTTAGGAATCCCCCCCCCCCCTCAACCCATGTAAATTGCCCCTGTGGTATTTATCTATCTTTTTAAAAAATACATACTAAAATGAGGTCGGTGTGGCTGGGCGAGTAAAGCTCATGGTTGCTAAGCCGAAAAGTCAGCAACTTATCTAGGAACGAAACACCAAAACCCAAACAACTGCTGTCTTGTAGTTGGTTTTTGAATGTACTAAGGCAATGAGAGCAAATTCAGAAAGAAAAGCAGTCTCAAATCCTATATTGCGTTACCAGGTTGACGTGTAGAACTTAGTTGTGTTGGAGGAAATCCCGTCTAACATTACAATTAAGAAACTTTTTTATAAACTTTCTGTTAATTTTATAGAATACCTTAAGTAAGCTGACAGAGTACAAAATAAATCATATTTTGTACATCACTACGCTTTATATAGAATATGAAACAACCAAACAAGCTAAGTGCAGAACAAGCGTATTCCATTTACGTACATATCCTAAATCTTAACCCTATCTATAAACTAACCCCATTCTATTTGTATTCCTAATCCTAACCGTATCCCTAACCTTAACGCTAACACTAACGAGTTAATGTGTTGTTATCCATTAAAAAATGTTACCTCTTAAAAAATAATGACATCACTCTTCACACTACATCCCCTGTAAGTACTATTCCAGTAATATATTTTTCTGTATACATCAATTGTTTTCTAAAGCATGAACTGAGTCAGCATTATGAATACAGATAAATGTGTTATACAACTTATAAAAAAACTGTCTATAAAATGCGTATTAACTGCAAATATTAAGGTTTCAATAATTGTTCCAATGGGTTGTGTCAAGCTCTCTGAAAACTTTACTCACACATGGTTTGAAGACCTTAACCTTTCCTTCCCCCCTGCCACACCTCCCGTCTCATTTTTAAGCTCTATGTCAATTATGTACAAATTTTACCTAAAATAACTATTTCTCTTACTCTTTATATATATGATATTATCTGACATTGTTTGGAGCGTACATTTTCTTTCTTTTGTTTCATATAATTTTGTTTTATGAATAGTAATTATTTTACTTGCTTACTTTGTAGAGCATCCTTGTTAGTTAGTATTATAAACTAGGTTTATACAGTTTCCTGAAAAATTATATGAGAGGATGTGTAATAATACAATGGATTTTACTTTGGGTAGGCTCCGGAAAAAAACGGGGAAAAAAACTTTTTTTTTAATTAATAAGCCTTTTTAGTTTGTCTATGTATAAGTTAGGGTACTTAAGGGAAAATATATGCATGTACCCGGGACTCTTCTGAAAAAATGGTTGCCATGGAAACGGCGGCCATATTTGAAAAAACTGCCTTTTGTGGAGTTCTAAAATTTCATAAAGTAACATATAAACCGCCAATGTAATCATTGACCCTTCTTGTACTAACACTAATAGAGTCAGCTGGCTAGTTTTTGTAACAGAAAAACCGCTACATATATATTTTTTTAAATTTTCAAAGTTTTTTTAGGGTGAAAAAACATTAAATTTGCATTAATTTCAATGAAATTTCACCATACCAAATTTTGAAAATTAAAAAAAAAATATTTCTAGAGTGTTTTCTGTTACAAAAACTAGCTGACTCTATTAATGTTAGTAGAGGAAGAATCAATGGTTATATAGCCGATATACATGTTAGTTTATGAAATTTTAGAATTCCACGAAGTATTGTTTTTTTCAAGATGGCCGCCGTTTCCATGACAAACATATTTTCAGAAAGGTCTCTGGTACATGCAAATATTTTCCCTTAAGTACTCTAACTTAGATATCCACAAATAAATCAATAAAACGTTTTAATTAAGAAGTTAGTTTTTTTCTGGAGCCTACCCCTTTAAAGCATCTGTTTTGTGGAATTACCTTTTTCTCCCTTTTTGTTTTAAATAATTTATTTTGATTTATTGTTTCTTCTTGTTTCCATCGCTTGTCAGTTTCCCTTAGCTACAAACGCTTCTTATGTATGAAATGCCATGTTATTTTTAATTGAATATCTCTTGATTACACATAATACACACTTTTCCTTTACTGTGGTAATATAAAACATCTTCCTGATAGAATAACCTCTCTGCTAGAAGGTCACTGCATTTCCGTTTTAGCTTTTTTTTAAATGTTTAGAAACTGATTCATACAGCTTGATTCCATCAGGAAGTCAGACTTGTAGACGATCGTCGGAATATTTCAGACGTAGCTTATAACATGTCATTGACTGCCTCATTGTTCTTGCCTCATCCCTCCCTCTCTATGCGCTAACCATTTTTTCTGCAATTTTAATATGCATATTTTTTTAGAACTAAATTACCAACCATATTCGCTTATATAAAAACATAGTTTAACAAGATAACGATACAGAGTTAATTGTTCTACAGTAGCTTGTTAAAACTCTTAATTCAATAATGAGTGCTAGAGTTAGGGTTATCATTTGTTACACAACAAACAATATATGTACCATTAAAATCCGGATTATTGTGGAAACAAGCCGAGGAAGGCGTGATTAGACCATATCAATAGTGGTGTATTGTTTCGTTAGATCTTGCTGTGTCTCTATTTTAAAGTTCTGTTTATTATATGGCTTTTAAGCCCACTGTTACTTTGCAAATGTTTATGTTTGATGTGGTTAAAGTGGTTTAAAACAGCTGTATTCAAAAGCTTACAACTTGAAAGAAATCATATAATAATTTAAAAGAGAGTCTATATTATGCAATAGTTGTATTTCAGTTTAAAATATTTCAAGGTATAATATACCTGGTCAAAAGAACTTTAGTTTATTCGAATTCTGTGTCTATGATACTTATCATGATACGCAACGTTTCTATAAAAAATATACTAGTTGTTTACAATAGAATTATTTTGTTTCGACAATATGATAAGTATCGGCTTTTATTTTTGGTGTATAAATGTTCCCTAATGTTTGCGACGCTTATTTTTCAATTGTTGCACCTGTCAATTGATGTAAAGAAAAATTATTTTTGAAATACCAAGTAATTTTTTGTATTTGAATAGCTTTTGTATTTTCATTTTTTTTCCTTAGAAGTGTATATATCATTTTAAATTATGACTGAATAACTTGAATTTCACTTGTATTACTTAACTGTAATTATTATCCCGTTTGCTTGTGTTATTTTTAGAAAATTATATAAACATATATAAGTATATTTAGATGTATGTAATGGAAAACACTGACAATTGCATTAAAAACATATTGCCAACCTTCAACGCCTATTTTTTTTTTTACATAAAGTGAATTCGGGATCATTTCAGTTCCAGTCATTTGATCTTCATAGATCATGTTTTGTCAACCTAGTGCCGTAGTATCCTTTCATTAAGGACATTCGTCAGCAGTCAACGTGAGCCACACTTTTGTTAGCTTATTATCGAATAACTGTTACTGATAAAGACATTGTTAAGTTATAACCAGATATAAAACTCATTTGTTCAATAATTTGTCATAGAGATAATTTTAAACAGTGAAAGGTAGTAATTTTAAACTCTCTCTAGTTATGATTTCTAAAAACAAAATAAAATCGTAAATAAAATAAAATAAATTGTTTAACTTATGGTTTAAACGTCTTCTTGTATAAGACGCACCCATAAAAATAAAAAACTGAAAAAGTACTATTTTATGATTTATCTTGAACTAATACAATTATTACACAAATAATTAGCTTGAAAATATCCTAGGCTAAAATAACCAAATTTAAAATACAAACGGATTATTTTCACATTATAATGTTAATTTAAATGGCACCTGTATTTTTAGTGATTTAAGTTGCAGCCATGATCTTGCTTAATTAAAATCATTTTAAAAGTACAGAGCGGGCCTATGACATGTTTGTCACACATTTCTTTAATTTGACATGTCTTAATAGATTTGATAAATTTAATATAGTTATTTTATAGAATTGGCATTTTTTGAAAACATACTAGTTTTGCTGTTTACAAGCTTTTATTACAAGCTTTTATTTAACTCACTTCCTCTGTCGTCAGTCTGTCTAGATCGAAACCCCCGAGCGAAATTTCTGACACTTCTAACTGACATATTTGTTTTTACGTTGGCACGTGGGTCAAGGCATGAAGACAATGCAACATTAAATTTGACTTAATTGGTTGCCTGATTAATTTTTTATGAATTAATTTAAATTTTCTCCAAATTAGTAGACTGTCTCATCAAACTATTCCGCACTATTAGAACGCGTGTGGTGTTGTTGGATAGAAATGACTACTAATTTGGTTAAAATTTTAATTAATTCATAAAGAATTAATTAGACATCCAATTAAGTCAATTTTAATGTCACGGTGCATTGTCTTCATGTCTTGACCCACGTTCCAACTACGAACTGTAACTGTCAGGTAGAAGTGCCTGCAATTTCGCTCGGCCGTTTCGATCTAGACAGACTGACTGACGACAGGCGACTGACGACTAAAAGCTTGTAAAAAGCGACTCAACCAATGACATGAAAAACTTACTGTTACATAGCCAGTTTCAGGCAAGGCAATGTTCCCTGAACGTGGGTGACACATCATGGCAAAATTCATCAAAAGATCCGGCCTCCATCAGAACGATCTTTCCTCCCCCTCCCTCTTCTGCAGAGGTCCCCAGCAACGTCAACTGGGCAGAGAAAATATTGGGTAGTTGTCCAGAGAAAATATCGGGTAGTTGTCAAAAGGACGGAGAAAATATCGGGTGGTTGTCAAAAAGACAGAGAAAATGGATGTTTATAAATAAG